TCTCTGATAGTGAGTACTCACAATTAGGGAGAGTTTATAGTCTCAGAAGGGGCCTATGTCTGCTATGACGGGTAATAATGTAAAACAATCTCTTGTAAACCGATTCCTTTCATACATATCATAGAACTGGGCCAGTGATGGGGGTAGCTGTAAAAACATCTTCATCCAAAAGCCTCCTTGAACAGAACTTTGGGTCCTCCATCCTGCGAACATGCTTGTGTGGAAACGTGACTTGCAGACATTGAACTAAACCCAAAGAAATGTTTCAGGTTTGCTCTTGGCAAAGTGCATCACTCCCTGCTCCCTAATGAAGGATAGGGAGGCCTCACATGGCTCTTCTTGGCCGGTGCCTCCCTCCTTAAACAATGGCTGGAAGCATTTTCTAGAAAGAAGAGGAAACATATGGATTGCATTTCCCCCAAGTGCTCTGTGGTCTAGGAGGGGATGGGAGGCTGGGTGTCGGGGGTAAAGTGGAAGGCTTTGGCGCAGCACACCCAGGAACTTAGTAAAACCTGGATCCCATGAGAAGCAGTGGGTGAAGAGAGGGGCCAACAATTAGCTGTGAACAGGTGCACTTTGAGCCGCTGCAGAGGGACGGCACTGGAGAGGACTCTTGGACAAGGAGGAGTGAGTTGACATCGTAATGGGAAGCGGAGAGAAGAGTCAGGCAGGAGCTTCCAAAACAACTTCTGAAGCGTCTTCAAAGGTCTGAATATCGAGGGATTCTTCCTGAGGAAGTCAGGTCTGGCTCTATTCTCTGCCTTGTGCAATGGGAGTGAGAGTTGGGGATTTAATTAAGTGTAATCAGAACAGCTTAAAACAATGTGAACGAATCCTACTTTTCTTGCCAAATTACACAGGACTCATTAAATGGCGAGTGGTGGCAAGGCTCTCTCCCTGGCATTGCAGAAACCTCTGAGTATGGCCACCTGGAGGGCAAGGAAAGGAAGGTGTTGTTTGAGAGTGAGCAGAGCACTTCATTTACAACTTCCTCTCATCCGCCTCTGTCTTTGCAACCAACTCTCTGTGCCCTTCCACCACCTGGAGTCCCGGCCATGATACCCATGCTTACGTGATCATGATCCCTCAGGACTGACCAGCTGTGCAAAGCTCCCTTGTCTCAGGGATGTGATGTCTGGGAATGAAATGTAGCTCTACCGTGCATTATTTATTCCACACACCTGTGAGCCTGTCTCTTGATCATGATCCCTGGTGCCTAGTTCTGTCATTGGTCCAGAGTAAAATCCTAAAAACTAAGCAGTTGCCTGTTGACCTGACCATATCTTAGTATGCATTGGTCCTGTCCTCCTGGGAAAATGATATCTGACTTGTATCAGATTCTTTAGAATAAGCCAAGTTAGTGTATTTGTGGCTCTGAGAACAATAAATATTCTAAAGCCAGAGGACATGCCTTATCTCCTTCCTAGGGGTCAGATTCTGCTTGGTGGTGAAATAGATCAGACTCAATCTTGCCCATGTCCCTTTGATTGATTTTGAATTTCTAGCTCCCCTAGGTGAAGGGCTGGGTCTGTTGACCACAGTCGTCTTCTCCAGCTCCTCAATTTATTTCAGTCTGGCTTTGTTTCTTCCCAGTGATAGGAGCCCCCGACCTACCGTGTCATCAATGAACGGTAGGTCGGGGGCTCCTAAATGAACTCAGCCTTTAAGCCTATCCTAGGCTTACATCTCCTGTGGAGTCTTATTCAGGAAAAACGTGCGGCTTCCTCTCACGTGCTTCACACGTCTGTTTTGCATTTATTATATTATAATATAATTACCCGTAAGCTGCTTCGAAGGGCAGACACTAGACATACTTTATAATTGAACACGAGATGCTCTATTTCCATTCTTCATTATTTACTAGAGTATATGGCAAGACAGAGGGGCTGAGGAAGATTTCTCGAGTGGATGAAATATTTAGTTCGATGTTCCTACTCATAGATGAGAAAACGGCACTCAGAGAAATTCAATGACTTAACCAGATCTTCAGTGAACTCATTTAGGGCAAAGACTATATTGAATTTATCTTCATACTTTCAATGCCCGCAAGGCACCTGGCGTATATTAGACAATCAATACAAGGATTGTGTTCAGTTGAACAGGAATTTTGGAGACCACGAAGATCGTTAAGTGGCAGGCTAGGGCTATAAACAAGTATCCTGGCATTTCAACTCTCAGCCTATCATAAGATTAAATCATAACCAAGATGCTCAAAATATTTTTTAAAAAAGGTGACATGCCAACATCTCTTAAATTTTGGTCTTGGCAGATGATCTATTTTTCCTTCTTAGCGGATATCCCTCTTTATTGTACTGTTCAAATCATACAACACTTAAAATATGTGGTTGGCTTAACACCAAGCAAACCATTTCCTTTCTTTTTGATAAATATTCCAGATTTCAAAAAAAAAAAAACACCTCTAAGTACCCATTCTACAATGAGACTTGTTCAAGGGAAGACATCTATAAAAGGTAAAGGATTTTCATGTCTCCCGGATGACTCAGGACCCGTGTTTTCTGAAAATACTGTGTGTACACAGATGCCAAGAAATTTCTCGAGTAAGCAGAGTTAAATATAATAGTTATGGGTCCTCGAACCGCAAGGGGCATCGGAAAAGAATAATGAATTATTTTGCTATTACCTGCTGTGCACCAGAGGGCTCTGTGCAAATTATGACTGCCTGGGTTTCTCCCTGGAGACCAAAGGCTTAGTTAAGGGACTGGCACTCTTTTCCTGTTAAGGGCAGGCAGGAACTATTCTAGTCTTTGCCCACGACTGAGTTTCTGTTACAGCTACCCAGCTCTGCTGCTGCAGCGTGAAAGTAGACATTGACTGTATGTACATGAATATGTGGCTGTGTGGTCATGAACCTTTATTTATGGGTACTGGCTGGGTGCGGTGGCTCACATCTATAGTCCCAGTATTCTGGGAGGTCAAGGTGGGTGGATCACCTGAGCTCAGGAGTTCAAGATCAGCTTGACCTAGAGCCAGACTCCATCTCTACTAAAAAGAAAAAAAAAAAAACCTAACCAGGCCTTGTGGTGGAGTTCCAAGTACTTGGGAGACTGAGGCAAGAGGATCACTTGAGCCCAAGAGTTTAAGGTTGCTGTGAGCTATGATGCCATAGCACTCTACCCAGGGTGATGGAGTGAGAGTGTGTCTCTAAATAAATAAATATTTATAGGCACTGACCTTTGAATTTCACATGTTTTTATCACAAAATAGTATTGTTCTTTTGAATTTTAAAAAATCATTTAAAAATACCGAAGTCCTTCTTAGCTCACAGGTTATACAAAAACAGGCAGCCCAGATTTGATGTGTGGGCTATAGTTTGCTGACTCCAGGTCCAGTTAATAATAGTCATAATAATAATAACAACTTCCATTCACTCTATCCCTATTGTGTGGCAATCACCATACACCTTTTACCACCCCTTTTTCAAATGAGGAGGGAAACGCTCAGAGAGAGGTGAGTGTGGTCAGCGGCACGAAGTTGGGAAGCAGAGCTGAGAGCCACGCCTAGATCTGTCAGTCTGAAACTTCTTGCCACATTGCCAGGCTGCCTCTTAATTTAAATCATGCAGTCTTGGGTGGCGCCTGTGGCTCAGTGAGTAGGGTGCCTGCCTCATAGAGCAAGGATGGTGGGTTCGAACCCGGCCCTGGCCAAACTACAAAAACCACAAGATAGCCAGGCATTGTGGCGGGCCCTGTAGTCCCAGATACTCAGGAGGCTGAGGCAAGACAATCGCCGAAGCCCAAGAGCTAGAGGTTGCTGTGAGCTGTGACAGCACTGCACTCTACAGAGGGTGACAAAGTGAGACTCTGTCTCTAAAAAACAAAAACAAAAACATGCGGTCTTGACAGCTCTTTCACTGATCAAATTGTGGTTCAGAGCTGCAGGCTTTGAGAGCATTCCACTAGCACTCCTAGGTGCTTGGTACTAGCCTAAGGTGACCAGACATCCTGCTTTTGGCGGGACAGTCTGGATTTTTAACAACTTGTCCCACGTCCCATGGCATTTTTAAAAAGTCCCGATTTTTGGAAAGAATGCACGACAAGCTAGGGAACGGTAGGACAACAGGAAGGGAATATACTTCAGCTGCTGAAAAGATTAATGTAACTCCATTTGGGAATGAAGAGGTTAATGTAACTTCATTTGGAAATGAAAAGGCTAATGTAAACTCCCTACTTCCCCTCCTGGGCAAGGTCGCCCAGGTGGATAGGCATCCTACTCCTTTGAGCCACAGGCACTGCCCTATACATAATTTTTAAAAATGTATTATATTTGTAAATTGTACTTATGTTGAAATTTTAAAAATACTATTATAATACTATTTTTGTGTTCTATGAAAATTTTTATTGCTCCATATAGACCAAATTTTTAATTAAGAACACCCCACCCCCACCCCTTCCCCAGTCAATGGTGTCCTGCTTTACCAATGTTAAAATCTGGTCACCTTATACTAGCCATGCCAATAGCAACTTCCTATGTGACCTCTGGGAAAACTTGGAATTGTCTGAGTCTTTGTTCCCTCTTCTATAAGATAAAGAGATTAGAGGAGGCTAGGGGTTTTCAAGGGCAATGGCGATTTTGCCCCTGAGGGACATCTGGTAATGTCTGGAGACATTTTTGCCCCCACATTGTTGTGTCTGACTGTCACATATGGTGGGTAGAGGCCAGGGACTCTGCTAGACTCCTTGCAATGTGCAGGGCAGTCCCTATGACAAAGAATTATCCGATCCAAAATGTCAATCATGCTTAGGTTGAGAAACCCTGGACCAATCAACCAAGAGGGCATTTCTGGGAACCTGAATTTTTTCATTCATTTCACAGAAGTATATTTAATTAAAATCCAAGTCTTTTCTCCTCTCTCAATCACAGATTCCTTTTTTTTCTTGTAAAATGAGAGGATTAAACAATATAATCCCAGAGATTCTTTCCAGCTTTACAATGTTCAAGCTTATGATTAACAAGGGAATATTAAAAATAAATGTTGTGCTATTAAATCCAAGATAATACGAATCATTTTTATATTTTTGTCTTAATAACCAGTGCTGTTCATCTCCCTTATCCCCACAGGGCAAAGTTTGCAAATTCGAAGTCCGGGGGCTGAACTCAGCTTGCAGACATGTTTTGTTTGGCCTGTAGGATGTATTAGAACTGTGAGAATTAGTGGCCAAGATTTAAAAGACTGGATATTTCCAGTCAACCTCTGCATTTCCAGCTTTTCTTAAAAAAATCAGAAGACCTCACCACTTTGGGCTCGATTCTTACACGACAGTGATTAGCCAAAACTGGGTAAAGCTGTCCCTTCAGATGGGACTGAGTCTCCAGTTCACTGGAATCCCCAGCTCACAGGCTGGACCTGTCCCTTGCCTTCTTCATTTATTTACATGCCCTCCGTGCTGACCTGGCCCTGTAGGTACCTCATTTTGCTACCCTGTCCTTGACTTCTCGAGTGCTCACAAAAATGCCCAGAAATGTACACAGTGGGCACTTAAGATTGTGGGATCTTAAATGAAATAAACATTAAGTTCTACCACAGGGTCCAAGTAAACAAGAGGATAAGAACAGGATGGGAAGAAAAGTCTTTGCAGCGGCTTGTAAAAAAAGAAAAAAAAAAGCCGTAAGAGTTTTAGCAGAAGGTATGAGGCAATGGTGTTTTGAGACTGCCAACTAGCTAATGTGATCTCTGGCTCTGTGATGAGGCGCGGAACACTCTGACAGGACGCGGGGCAGTCTGGGTCTTCCCTCGGCTCAGATGCTTCTGAATCATCATGTTCCTTCTTGGGGATAGACTCGAAGTGGGATTTGAACAAAGAGGTGAGCCACGGATTGGTGAGATGACTTGGAATCTCTTCATGGGAGTGAGATTTGGAGAAGCTGGGGTCATTGATTCTGGAGAAGAGGTGAGTCGGGAGCCACAGGAAGGACCTTTTCAAATATTGGCATAGGTGTCATGAGGGGGAGGATCAGTTAAACAACATGACCTTCAATATGTGCCACAGCCCCCTTTCTGAGCTCCAGGTTTCTTGCTTTTTTTTTTTTTTTTGAGACAGGATCTTGCTCTGTTGTCTGGGCTGTAGTACAGTGGTATGATCATAACTTACTGTAACCTTGAACTTTTCGGCTCAAGCAATCCTCCTGCTTCAGCCTCCTTAGTAGTTAGGACTACAGGAGCACACTACCAATTCCTGGCTGATTTTCTAAACTTTTTTTGCAGGGACAGGGTCTTGCTATATTGCCCAGTCTAGTCTGGGCAATATAGCAAGACCTTAAGGGATCCTCCCACTTTGGCCTCCCAAAGTGCTGGAATTAACAGGTGTAAGCCTCCACTTTTATAATAGAGAGAAATTACTCTAACTCTGTTTTATAAACTCTTTTATAAAATAGTTTTCTCACTTTTATTATAAAGGGATTTTATTTTTAACTTCTCTCTTTCTGACAAAAACTGATCTTGAAGCAAAATGTGTAGCTATGTGAAATAATGGATTCAGAGGTGGCTTGATTTACAGGGGATCCAGAGGCTCAGCTGTTTAGCAGTTCCTCCAAGCCCTCGAAGTCTCACAGCTGAGAGAGCTCTGCAGAGCCTCTGGGACCCTGCAGTGTGCAGTTTGAAAAACTCCAATCTAGATTTCTAAGATCACTTCTCATTCCCCAACCTTCATTTTCTACAGCCTAGGTTTCTGGATGTGAAATATCAAGGAGGGCTTTTGCAGTAAGCTTGATGGGGAGCTGAGCCATCAAAGGCAGAGAGGGTGGGATATGGATGGTCCCAGAGGACAGGGTAGCAAGAATCTCCAAGAACTAAGAACTGCTGAGTTTGGCTGAAACCCACTTTGCCTGAAGTGAGTCAGTGGCCCTTATGACAATTGTCTAGTAAGAAATGCAGATGGCAGTTCGGTCTTCGTTTCTTTGGAAACTTGGAAGGCTGGCTCTAGTTGACCTTGTGATTTTCCCTTTCCCATCTACTTCACTCCTGCTCCCCAGACCCCATCATACTGCATAGTTTGAGGATTATCCCAGTGTTGGAGGTGGGCCCTGCAGGGGTGTCCAGCCTATGGCCCGTGGGCCACATACACATTATTTGAGGACTGTTTTGCTTATCTGTGGTGTTGGAGACTGTGAAAGTTACACGTGGACCTTTTTCTTGCTCATCAGCTTTCCTTAGCCTTTGTGTATTGAAGGTGTGGCCCAAGACAACTCTTTTCTTCCAAGTAGGCAGAACAGAAAAAAAGTTCCCCCCCACCCCTGAAACAATCCCAGGATCCCTCCTCCTAGACAGCGATTGGTTCAGGAACCCAGGCCCCAGCAGCTAATCCATGTGCTTATGGGCCCTGCAGAGGGTCGTCAGGGACCAACCCGGTAGCCAACATGGGCAATGAAAACTGTTTGCTGTGGGCCCTTTTAGGAAAAGTTTTTTCACATGTAAGAGAAGTCCAGATGGAGAGGCAGTTTATTTCTTTCTCCTGCTACTGGAATCTGGTGCACATGAGGCCTGGAGTCGCTCAGCCATTTTTGCAGCAGCCCGAAGCTGGCCCAGGAGGACGGCTGAGACAGGAGAACTTCAGTAGTGTGGAATTGGAGCCACGGAACTGAGTCTGAACTGAGAGCTGCTGACCTTCTGGGCTTTGGGGTATGTAAGCCCATCACTTGCTTTCTTTCCTTATCATTGTAGTTTAATTTGGTTTTTTCTTCTTCTTCAAGTTCAGTGAACTCATCCAAGCCAGAAAGGTTTCCTTCTAGTGACCTCAGTGATTTGTGTGGGGGAGGCAGGGAGACCTATTGAGGGCATACAGGCACCTCTTCTCTCCACCTCAGTCTTGTGGCCTCAGCTGCCTCTCAAATCCCTGATTGCCCACTGGACTCCACCTACTGCAGCTATCCGTCGCCGCACTTACCCATGGAGTTAAAAGTCCTCAGGCCGACCAGCACTGCAGCTGAAATCCCTGATGCCTCCCAGCACTTCTGGACTCAACAAAGACCAAGCTGCAGCTGTGAGATCTGGCTTCCCAAGCAGCTGCTGCAGGGGCTGGGTGGTACAGCTCAGGAGTGTGGGAGACTTAAATCTCTGGCAGGTAAACTTGGAGCAATGGAATGCAAGAGATGTAAGAGCTCTGGCAAATAAATTTCCTCTCCCTTCCTCCCTCCCAAGACTGAACCAAGGGAGCATCTTCCTCCCTGAAAAGCCCATTTGGAAATAGCTCATCTAGGTGGACGGATGCCCCTGCTGAAATGCAACACCAACCTCACGTTTCTTCCTTTGCTACCTCGCCTCCCTTTCTGCTCAGTTTTGCAGCTGTAAGATTATACTTCCTAAATAAAGCATTAGCACTTAATCCCTACCTCAGGCTCTGCTTCTAGGAAAAGCATCCAAGCTGGAAAGGAACATATCAAAAAGAAATAAATTGTGGAGAGTTTAGACCATTGCCTGGTTTTAGTATTTAGAAAATCCGATCTTCTGTGGAAATCAATAATCCAGGTAGAATGCACCTTATACCGTTTAGAGCTCACATGGATGTGTGTTCACGTCCCGACTCTGTTCTTTTTTTTTTTTTTTTTTTTGAGACAGAGCCTCAAGCTGTCACCCTGGGTAGAGTGCCGTGGCATCACAGCTCACAGCAACCTCCAGCTCCTGGGCTTAAGTGAGTCTCCTTCCTCAGCCTCTCAAGGAGCTGGGACTACAACGCCTGGCTATTTTTTGGTTGTAGCTGGCAGGCCTGGGCTGGATTTGAACTCGCCAGCTCAGGTGTATGTGCCTGGCACCTTAGCCACTTGAGCCACAGGCGCTGAGCCCTGACTCTGTTCTTTAGTAATTGTATGATCTTATTCAAGTTAAGAAAGTCCTCTTAGCTTCACTTTCCACATTTGTAGATAATGACAATCTCACTAACCAAATAGGGTTATTGTGAAGATTAAAGATGATAATGTATATAAAAGCTTATCACAGGGGTTCTCAACCTTAGCACTATTGACATTTTGGGCCAGATAACAGTTTTGTGGGGAGCTGGACCGTGCATTGTAGCATGCTTACCAGAGTCTCTGGCCTCTACTCATGAGATGTGAGTAACCTCACCCAGCTCTGGCAATCAAAAACGTCTCCACACACAGTCCCATGGAGGCCTAATTTTGCCAAGTTGATAAAAACTGACTTTTCCTTAGCTGACACTGAATTCTGTACAGATAAGCGAGGCCACCGTAGACCTTCCAGCCCCGCCAGTTCTCCCACTCAGTACACCTGTATGAATGAGACTCCCCTAAACCACCAGAAGAACCACCTAGCCAAACGGAAAATTGTGAGGATCGTAAGAAACCATGAATTGCTGCCATTTTAAGCCACTAACTCTCGGTGGACTTATTATACAGCTAGACAAGTAAAACAAATTGGTAACAAGAAACGTGATGCTGCCATAACAAAAACCTCAACTACAGAGGGTGCCCCAAATGCATATGTATTTTAAAACATGAAAACACTGTATTAAAGTTGTAAAACTCACCATATACTGATAACATTTGTTGTCTTGTATCTTTTATCTGTTAGTCAAAGGTGACTCGAGTATTACAATTTTAATACAGTTTTTTCCTTTCTTAAATCGTATGTCCATTCTCCTTTTGGCACCTTCTGTGGCATTGGCTTTGGAACGAGGAAGTAGACAGGCTGGAAAGAGAAGAGAGAAGAGAGGTTAAGGAGCAGAAAAGACATTTCCATTGAAGGCAAAGAAAGCAAGGGCAACTCTTGTATAGACTGTAGCAATTTAGAAGATAGAAAATGTACCTAAGGGATCCATGGGCTCTGTCTAAAAAGATATTAAAGCAGGAGGATAAAAATCCCAAGTGGGACCCTTTACAGTATGAGAAGAGAGATGAGCGAATGACAGCACTGTAGCATTTGCAAACAGAATTTGGAGAAAATATAAAGGAACAAGGATTTATTTGCTAGGTTGGAGAATACAACTGTTTTCTATTTTATGTCTCTCCGGTTGGCAAAATATTATCAAAGTAAAAAACGGCCTCAGAGCAAAGATCAAATCGAATTGAAGGTGTGGCTCTAATAACTCTTGTTAAGATTTTATAAGAAGGCTGAATGTGTTGGCTCAGGCTTGTAATCCTAGCACTCTAGGAAGCTGAGGCAGGAGGACAGCTTGAGCTCAGGAGTTGGAGACCCGCCTGAGCAAGAAAGAGTGAGACCCTGTCTCTAAAAATAGCTGGGTATTGGGTTGTCCCCGCTACTTGGGAGGCTGAGGCAAGAGAATCATTTAAACCTGGAGTTTGAGGTTGCGGTGAGCTGCTACACCACAGCACCCTACCCAGAGTGATACTCTGTCTCAAAATAATAATAATAAGAAGAAGATTTAAGTTGACTCTAAGCTAGACAGAGGAACTTCTAATCATCTTAATAGCATCCTCCCCCAAAGCCTAACCTCTTTAAAGCAGAAAGAAATCTGTCTCAAAAATAATTATGGATTTGGCTTTTGGGGATGTGAACTGAATGCAGATAAGATCACAGGAACAAAGTTTTAAAGAGAATTATATTGCCTAGAGTGTTGGGAACCTGAATTTTGGTACCTTGAACTGAAAGGGCCTGGGGTAGTTCAGATGAAGAGAGGCTTGTGGAGGTGGGAAACACAAACTTCCTGAGAAAGCTGCTAAGAGACAGGCATGAGCCATTTTTCTTTGGAAAAAGAAGGGCCTTTTAGAAAGCCAGACAGAGAGAGCGTAGAAGGTCAAGCAAAGGGCTAAGAAGAATAGTGAGTGGGTCCCTCCTGGGGAGGAGTCCCTGTTCCCCATAAACGGATGTTTCTTGCCCCCCGGGCAGGGAGCCTGAAGAGTGTGACATCTGGATTTCAGAACTGCGATTAGTGACATCTATGTTTTTCCCCTTATCTAACTACGAACGGGATTATCCTCTGTACCTCACTGTTGTATGTTGAGTGTGGCTGTTTACTTCACAGGTCGCTGGGGTTGTGGCTGTCCCAGGGTTCCTGCAGCTAAAAAGTGCACTTCAGAAGCCTCAGCCACACCTGAGGCAGATCATGGAGTTCTAGACTTTGAGCTTGAGGCCCTAATTGGTGTGAAACAAGTCTTTAAAGGGACCTTTTTTAGTTCCCTTCTGTACTGCAGGGGGCTGGCCTGGGTGACTAATGAGATGTTATAGAAATAACTATGCATACCTTTCAAAGCAAGGGTATAACTTACACTGTAGATTTTTCCTATCACTCTCTCTGGGTACAGCCCCCTTCCATACAGCGGGAACGCTCAAGCAGCCTTCTACGGAGAGCGGGTAGTGAGAACCGAAGTCTGGTCCACGACCGTGTGAGCGAGTCATCTCAAACCACTACCTCTCTGGCTGACATTTTGACTGAAGCGCCACGAGAGAAATCTGAGACAGAGGCACCCGACTCACCTCCTGAATTTTTGATCGAGAAAACTGTGTTGGTCAGACGTGTGTTGTTTTAGGGAGCTAAGTTTTAGGATCATTTTGTATGCAGCAAGAGGTAACTAAAACAATTGGGATGAGACTTCTGGAGGCCTTATGTGGAGGTGGGCACATTTCACACGTGGGAGGAATATGAGTAGTTTGTGGCGAGAAGACAGACTAACAATTGTTTAATGCCCACGAATACCTCTTGTTCCAGCATCCACGCCCCCTTTCTAATGCTGGTGGGGCATTTTTTTTTTTTTAATTCTCTTGAATATGGTTGTCCTAGAGACTTGCTTTTACAAATAGAATTGGGAGACTTAAAGTGGTGCAGACGTAAAGTGGTGTGAGGTTTGAAGACAAGTCACTCAGGGCCTGTTGCTTCTTTCTTTGCCCTTGTGGAATACTGGCCAGAAATGCCATCGAAAGAGAGTCTGGCTGCTCTTCTGGCCATTTGGAGAACTGAGGCAGCCCAGCTGACTCCTAACAGCAGCTTCCAGATGTGCGAGGTCATCTCCCAGCCAGCCAGATCTGTGGCCCAATGCAGTTGCACAAGTAAGCTACACAAACTTATCAGAGCAACCCTCAAGCCAATTGAAAAAATTAGTTACTCATGTTTTGAGGTTGTAATTTAAGTTGTTAACAAACAACTGAAATAAACCTTATTACTGGAATTTATCACAGAGGATAGCCTTGAACTCACTGTCTATGAAAAACTTAATTTTAAGAAATAATTGCTGAAGGCGTCTTGGAATATCACAGAATACTGAAATGTATGTTCCATGTAGATCAGTGATTTTCAACTGGTGTGCTCTGTGTGCTGTGAAAAGTTTTACAGAGCATTAATTAAATTATTTTCAAAATAAACTCAAAACACGGTAAGTATATTCTTTTTTTTTTAATCAACATGATTTAAGTGTGCTGCTGAAGCTTAACTACAGATTCAAGTGTGCCATGGGATTAAAAAGGTTGAGAAACACTGAAACTGGTGCACACACACGTAAAACAGAGTTACTGGCGGTTTTTTGAAGAATCTGCTACGCGTCCTGTGCATAGGTTTAAGGTAGCGTCTACCTGTCACCAAGGAAGACCAGTGTCCATCTTAATCTGTTTTCTATTGCTTACGTACAATACTTAAATCTTAAGAATACTTAAGATTTGGTAGTTTATAAGAAAAAGAGGTTTATCCAGATAACAGTTCTACAGGTTGGAAAGTCCAATACTGAGGGGCTGGCCTCTGATGGGGACCTCATGCTGCTTCTCACAACTTGGGAAAGACCCTGAAGGGGGGGTGGCACACGCGGAGAGGGACCGGACACAGGCCAGGCTTTATAACAGCCCCTGCTCAGCCCCATGAGATGAGACTCACTCCCACCAGAAAGGTGTCAGCCCCTCTTAACACCTGATTACCTCTTAAAGGCATTGCTTCCCAACACCACCACTCTGGGGACCAAGCCTCCCCGTGAGTTTTGGTGAGGACAGAGCATACCAAACCACAGCCACGTCCAAATCTCTCATATTTAGTTACGTGTTTCATGGGACCATTTACTCCTATGGGACGATCCTTGACTAACCCCATAACTGTTTGTATTTGTTCCTCTTCTCTTACATTTGCGACTTTATGCTTGAATGAAAGCAGATCGTCCCAGAAGCGTATACGTTATCTGATTTCATTCTCACAACAACCCTATGTTGTGGCAAGGAGGGTAGGGTGTATTGTTTTTCAATCTCCATTTTATAGATGAAGGAAAGCCAACCCAATGTCTTTCAAACAATGATGGACACTTAAGGCAAAGGGATTTACTCCCAAGCATTCAATCTTTGCATTTTTATTCCCTTCCCGCAATAAGGTAGGAGGTGTTTAGATAATTGCCAAGGTTCTTCCAGATCTAACACCCAGGTAGATTTGAATGAACTCAG